TATTCATCATAATAATGTTATCTCTAAATTAATTAAATTAGAGTAATATTATCACCATTGTTTAAACATTCATTATTATAGTTAGTGTGATTCATTTTTCATGAGTTAAGGTACAATTTTACTTTTAAATTATTTTCAAAAGAACAATATTTTTCTCACTGTTTAAAAAATTATAAATATAAATAAAAATAAAATTATAATAATATTAAATGTATATATAAATATAAAATAAAAATAATTTTAAATTTATATATAAAATACATGTAAGGAAAAAATTTATAATATATTTGTAAAATATCATAAATTAATAATATTATAAATTATAATTTTATAAATTATTAAATATAAATAAATATTAATTAAGTTAAATATAAATAAATACAAAAATATTTGTATTTATATTTATAATTATCGATTGAAGTTGTCGTTAATGGCTCAATTTGAACGAAAAGTCATTTTTATGTTCGCGCATTCCGACTAAATAACAAACTAACTAGTTATTGCAAAAATGAGAACAAACAAACTGGAGTGTTTTCTAAGATATTTCCTAAGCCATGACCATGATATTCAGGCCTCAGACATGTCTATAATAGGATTTTATTATTATCCGTAAGTGCAAGCTCTCATAAATGATTTTTAACATCAAGCTAAAAGAAAAGGAAATGAATAAATTAAACTTATTTGTTTTAAATCTTCTCTTATTCACTTGCTCCTTTGCTCTTTTAGTTTGTTTTGTCATAATCTTAATTTTATAATCTGCACAAATAATAATAAATTTTTTTAATATTATGATCATCAAAACAAAAAAGTAACCAACATAATTTATAGTACCCTTTTCATTTCTAATTATAAATTATTTTTAACATATTTTTCCAAAATTAGAAAAAACTTTAAAATTCATTAATTATGTCTAAAAATTTTACAAATTTGCAATTTTGAATCTATTAAATATATATATATATATATTGATAACATACTTTCTCTTTTAAAAATTTAGAGATGATAAAAGGAAAAATTTAAAATTTGATCAAAAACACTTGATTCAACTAGTTGATATAATTGAATTAGCTTATCTTAAAATATCGAGTTCAAATCCTTAGATATGGAATTGTAAATTAATATGCCAAAGACATTCTAGGATATATGTGAGGCTGTTGTTAATAATAATAGTCTCACACTGTAAGATTTGGATTAATTTGGATAGTGAGCGATAATATTTTCAGGTTTGTCAAGATATTGAATGATGAAATAAAAAAATTGTGATAAAATATTAATAATATAACTTATAAATGTAACAAAAAAAAACATTTCTTTCTCTTTTTATGATTGAAGCAAAAGGGAACATTATAAAATAATTTAGGAAAAATAATAGGAAATAATATCAAAGAAATTTATACTCGCTTCGTTTAAAAATATAAAGCATTTTTAATCAAATCTCATCCTTAATAAAGTAGTTACCTACTTTTCAACTAATCCTATCTTTTTATATTTATCTTTATTAAATACCCTACAAAAAATATAAAGTCATTATCAATAGAGATACTTTTGAAAAAAAAAAAAAGACAACAATTACACTTTGAAAGACTAAAAATGATTTAATTTTTAAACATTTAATTTCTCAAAAAATAATTTATATTTTTAAATAGAGGGAGTAAGAATTAAGAAATAATGAGAAGTGAAGCAGTAAAAGTTTTGACGATGCATAACCATGAACATGGCATCCTGTAAAATAACACTCGCTAGAAATCGGCTCATCCTTAACTTACATTTAATCCCATCATCGACTATGATACGCGTGTGCCGGCTTACCAAGGCGATGGTGGTATATTTTAGTTATTGTACAATTTTATTTGTATTTGGATTCTATGTATAAGTATTTTTTTTAGAAAATTTATAATTCTTTTTACAACTTATTTTAAGTTAAGATATAGATAACTAATTACATTATTCTAATTTTAAAAAAATTATGAGTAGGAAATGATGTTAAACATAGCAGATGTAGATATTTTAAAAAATAATGAAATTTTTAATTCTTCAAGTTTGTCCTGTATTATTAATTTAGTTTTACAAATTTAGTTTTTATCAATGTAATTATATTTTTTTAAATTATCATATTAGCCTTTTATATTTTGAAATGCAAATTGACTTTTAAATTAATGTAATATATAAAATATATTACTAACTTGTAATATATATGTAATTAAATGATAACAAATTGGCTATCAAATCAGTTTATTTTTTATCAATCTACTTCTTTGCATTATATTTTATTCTTTTATTTCTTGAAATTTCTTAATCTATTTTTTCTTACATAAGTAATTACATTTTTTTTATTAATCTGTATAGTTTTCATCAATATTTTTTTGTCCATGTCAATAGAGTTAACATTGTTACCATCTCTTTAATCTTCAAACGATGAGAATCAAAATGATATTTAAGGCAAACTTGAGAGACCAAATTAATAAAAACTTAACTTAAAACATCAAATTAATAACTGAAATAAATTTAAGGATTAAAATTTTCATGATCCCTTTAAGAGCAATCATTTTGTCCTTATAATTTTTTTTTTTTGCCAATGCCCTTTTAATTTTGACTCTTCTAAGTTTTAGTCCTTAAATTTTGATTTACTGCAACTCAATATCTATATTGTTGACTCAATTAAAATTTAGTTATTAAACTTCATTTCAGTATTACACCATTTAAAATATTAGTTTTTAATATTTAAGAAATAACTTAATTTATCATAGTTTAATTGTTAAAAACAATTAAAATTATAGGAATCTAATTACTTCAATTTAAATTTAAGGGACTGAATTAGTTGTATTAAGTCAAAATTTAAAAATGGTGTCTTAACTAAGTACAAATTATAGGACGGCGACCAAATAAAAAATTTTTCTTATAAATTATATGTTAAGTAATATTCACTTCACATGATGGGGCACCAAAACTTTGAAGCGTGTACGACACTTGACACATTGTTGGGTTAAGCGGTCATACTTAGTGCGAGGTCAAACGGAGGGACGAAACATATAAGGATTGATATATAATTTAAATTTTACACTATAAATTTGAATATAATTTGAATCCTAAATTTTTATTTATATATTTTTAATTATAAATAATTAAAGTTGATATAATTTTACCTCCGTTGTTAAAAGCAAATGTAAGTTATTTACTTAAAAATGAGACATAATGTGTAATTTTTATCAAATTTCACTCTTCTCACTCTCATACCCCATTTGAGAAAAATTACACATTAAGTCTCACTTTAAAAATAATAATAGATGTTTACTTTAATTTAATGGTAAAAGTGAAATTATACTAATTTTTAATTATTTAGCATTCAGCATATATTAAATAAGAGTTTAAGATTTAAATCTTTCTTAAACATATAATTTAAGATTTAAATTGTATATTAACTCAACATATAAATGCTCATACTCTATACTTTGTGTGAGATATATCTTGAGGTAAATTATTTATCATTCCTCATAGAAATACAAGAATTGTTAATCTTGTTTTCGTTTATCAAAGCATATGTATGCCAATATTTTTATGTGGACGAGGTAGATGTTTTATACCTGACAAAGCATTTGTTTAGCCACACACGCACACATAACCCCGCATCTGTCTGCAGGATATCTATATAGTTAAATACATATGTATTTTCTAAATGAATTATTTTATTCTACTTTTTGAAATAAATAAAACAACAAATATATGTACTTTTTTCATATCAATTTTTCTTTTTTGGAATCTTGCAACTATGTTCAACCCTGTAATACTAAAAGACCGTGAAACATCAACATGTTTTTTGCTTCGGATGATGTGGTTCAATGAATCGGATTCAAATTTATACTGCGACTAATTAGTCGATTTTTAATGAATAATAAATTGTCAATTTTTTTATATTTTTATTAAAAAATGACAAGAAACAAATACTAATTTACCTTAAATATAAATCATGTGCGAATAATTTGATAATCTTTAAAATTTAGCCCGACAAAAAAATTTCCTGAACTTTCAAATTTGTATGTCTATTTCTTTGATTACTTTTTACTATCAAAATTGTGAGATCTTAGATATAACTCATACACATTGAAAATTATATGCATTGCCTTAGGAAAACGTGCATGGCCTAATTAAGTTTGATGATGATTGAAATTTCACCGGATAATATTACACAAATTATGCATAAACATAAGTTAATCAAATTAATTCATACACGAATAAGGTTGTGAGTGGCGCTATTGAGAAAGGTGAAATATATAATACGGAGTAGAGAGGCAAAGAAAAACTAAAGTGAATATTCAATGAAAATTTCAGGCTAGATCTAATGAAATAAAGTTGGTTATTGTTGTATGGTGGAGAAAACTTATATAAAATGAGCTAATTTATATTCAAAAATAAGAATGATTTTAAATTATGGTGAATTTAATTATTTCTTTAGTCTTAATTATAGGATAAAATTTTTAAATTTTATTTAATCATAAATATATGACAAATATATGATAATTAATTTTTTTAATCTTATCTTTCTTTTTTGGCAGCACAACTTTATCTTTTTTTTTTCAATCGTAGCAAGTTGTTAGCATACTTTTAATTTTAATTTATATATAATATTTTATAAGGACTATTGATTAGATGGAAAATTAAAAAGTGACACATTTTTTAATAAATTTAATATATTAATTATTATTATTATTTCTTTTAAAAATTATAAAATTAGTTAAAATTGACATGTAATTAAGACAAAAGGTAGAGAGAGTATGAAAATGAAGTGAATAAATAAATAGAAGATTTTGGAAGAACAAAAATACAAGTGGCGAGAGAGAGGGATGTGTAAGGACTAGTGAAAGATATACATACATACATCCATTTGGTCAAATGAGAAGGTGGACGACCTTAATAAATGAGGAAGGTGTCATAGTGGAGAGTGCTCAGAGAGAGAGAGAGAGAGAGAGAAGGAAAAAAAATGAAGTTTTCAGAGACAGTACACATTGGTGGGCTGTCTTCCCGCCATTAAAACTCTCCTCCTTCTCTCTCCACCACGCCACGCCAACCCCACCTCTCTCTCTCTCTCTCTTCCCAGATTTCATTTTCTTTCTGGGTTTTTCATTTTCCTCTCTCTCTCGAAACGACAACAATTCTGGAAGGTCCTCTTCTATCAATAGGAGTTAGACCTGTATAGCTTAGCCTCTAGGGTTTTCACCTTTCACACCCCCAGACTAGAATCTTCAAAACCAAAATTCACTCCTTGCACCCCGAAACCTCGAACAAATTAGTGCCCATTTCTATCTGGTCCTTCCAAGCAAAGCAAAAAAGAAAGAGAAAGAGAAAGGGCGTTCTCAATCCATAAATAACCTACCTGACCAGAGAGAGAGAGGGAGGGGGCGATAATATAATTCTGGTGCGGATACATAGAGCAGTGATCATCATCGTCATCAGAGAGAAATTGAAGAAGAAGGAAGGTATTATCGAGGGAGGGAGACATGATGAATGATAGGAGTGGCAAGCCTGCATGGCTAGAGAGGCTCATGGCGGAGACATTCTTTGGTGGGTGTGGGGTCCACCAGAATCACAGGAAGAACGAGAAGAACGTCTTTTGCTTGCACTGTTCCCTCAGCATCTGCCCCCACTGCCTCCCCTCACACCCCTCTCACCCGCTTCTCCAGGTTCTTCTCTCTCTCTCTCTAATTTCTTGCCCTCTTTCTCTGTTTTGTGTGTTTTTGCTTCTTAATTTCCCCTATTTCTTCCCAGATATGGGTGAATTCCTTGATTTTTCTCGTCATTTTCATGCCCGCATGAGATTTTTTCTGGGAATATAGTTTCTCAGTATTTCTCTTTCCTGGAAAGTTGAATTCAGATGCAGCTTTGTGTGTGACTCCTGGATCTCTCTCTCTCTCTCTCTCTCTCTCTCTCTCTCTCTCTCTCTGTGGTCTTGTTTGATTTTGCCTCGCATGCAATTATTCACCTTCTGGGATTGTGAGATAGCTGTTGTTTTATCTTGCTTCTTTCTCGTTTTCAGAAGATGGCTCTCAGTAATTATAACCTTCTTAGTTATGAAATTGCCCATGAATCTTGTTATCTGATGGATTTTCCTGAGGGAAAGAAGTCGGAAAAAAGTTATATACAGGACCTGATTGCTAATTCTCTCATTGTTCATGATTCTTCCCCAAAAAGAAAATAAAATTTGTGCTCAGTCCAGGATGAATTAAATTAGTAATTCTTTCTGCTAGATTCTCTCTTAGATTTAAGATTTGGGGTTTCTCAGGGAATATTTCTGGGTTATGTTTTGTCTCTGTGGGGTTCTGAGGATGAATGAGAGAAACTTGGTGAGGGTTAAAGATATTATTGATTTTTGGCCCACAAAAAACAAAGATATTATTTGATTATTGAAGGGTAATTTAATTGGGCAATAATGTCTCAATTTAAATAGTGTTTCTACAATATCTAAGTTTATGTGTATGTTTATGTGGTTTCCTGGGAAGGGTTCATGATGAGGTGTTTGATTCCCACTTTTTTGCTTTGGTTTTGGTTTGTTTCCCATTAATGGAAGATCTCTTTTTTATCCATTTCTACCTGCAAAGGTTTCTCAGCTGTTCCTTTCAGTGAAAGCGAAAGTTTGACCAATTTTGTTCTTGCCAATTCGTTTATTCATTTATTTATCTATTACTACTGTGTCCCATATTCTCACATTTATTAATTTCAAAGGAATAAAATTACCAGAGTTCTATTTTACCTATAGGTGAATGATTTGATGGGATAAATTTCTCTAAATTACAGTTAATTTTTGAAATTTGAATTATAACTCATTTGAGTTCCTGTGAGTGTGGTAGGAATTTTCATTTTGATTCTTGACTTTTTATAATTTACATTAATTTATGTTTTTTTTTAATTTCATCACTAGACAAGTCAGCTACATGAATTACACATTCTCTAGTATTCTATGAAATTTGAGAATGTTGCCACTAGTCGCCTAATGTAACTTAAACTCACAATGCAGGTGAAACTGTTATTATATTCATTTATGTTGATATTGGTAATTTTATGTGTTTGGATTTTTTTCCTTTTAAATTTTTATCAATCACATATTTTTGAAGTCACAAAGATTGTATCTCTCTCTCCTCTAATCTGGTATGTTTTTTCATAGCACCCATCATTTCTCCGAAATTATTTTCTTGTCTCACTCTGTTTAGTTATTTTTTATTTGTTTTCTGATAAATTGTTCTAGGAGTTTGGTGTCTAGCTGTTTCAGGAGAAGATAAGGTTTTCTGTAGAGGGAAATCTTACTTAAAATGTTTGAGGAATTTATTGCTGTTTTTAATGAAATTTTATCACACTGATAAGATTTATTAATGAAAGATTTGAACATAAATATTGTTCATAATGAGTGATAACAAGCATCAATATAAGGGTATTAATGATGGAAAATAGATTCTGTGACACAAGTGTGGGGTCAATAATGACTAGTGAGAGATCAGATGAAGTTCATGTCCTTCAATTTCTCTCTCTCTCATAACTTAACCTCCTGCCTATAAAGGATCTTAATTAGATTTGATGTTTATCCTTCTTTTTTCTACTGATATGAACTATATATAGTATTTTGTTTTGTTTTAATGAAAGCGTCCAACGAATTTCTTTGACTTCTAATTTAAAAAATAGTAATATTAATATAAAATATAAAATTTAACTTTAAATTAAGAAAAATGACAATAAAATTCTTTTAAAATATATAAATAATAATTTAATTTTTTAAAATGTTATAATTCTTTTAAAGTTTTTAAAAATTTTTTTATCATCAATAAATTTATATAAATTATTAAATTACTTTTTTTAAAAATAAATAATTTATAAATTTTTTTTAAATATTTACAATATTTTGATATTCATAACAACATAACAATAATAAATTTATTAATAACAGAAAAGTTTTCATGAATTTTAAAAAAATTATGGTATTTTAAAAAATTAAATTGTCATTTATATATTTTAAAAAAATTTTATTGTTATTTTTTTTAAATTATTCAAATAAAATATCTACAATTGAAAAGAGATAAGTGTTATACTTTAATCTCAATTTATAATAACATCTCAAAATTAAGATTTTTTAATTTTTAATTTTATTTTCTCTCTTTCTTTAATATGTTTTGACAAATGAAGTATTAAATAAAAAGTATTATTAAAATTTTATATTTTTATTTTGAAGAATAAGATTGTAATTTGTATTTTATGAGTTTTATTACTATATGTTATTTTATTTAAAAATGTCTTGTAAATTAGGATTGATAAAATATATGTGTGCATCTCTTTTAACTTTTCAAGTGAGTATAAGAATCTAATAAATAACTTTGTATTATTTAGTTTTAAATAATATAATTTGTTTTTATAATAATTATATTTATATTATATATTGATATATTTATTTATATACAAAAGATGTATTCCCTCCGTTTAAAAATATAAAATATTTTAAATTAAATTTTACTTTTAATAAAGTAGTTATTTGTTTTTAAACTAACCTTATCTTTTTATATTTACTCTTATTAAATATTTATAATAAATATAAAATTATTATCAATAAAGGTATTTTTGAAAAGAAAAATAATAATTATATCTTAAAAAATTAAAAATGTTTTATTTTTTTAACATTTAACTTTTCAAAAAATGTTATAAAAAGTAGAAATTTGTAATTTTCACGAGTGATAAAAACATGCAAGTTATGATAAAACATTTGCAATAAGCGTGATATCATCCTAGTTAACGTGGGCAACATATATATATATATATATATATCAGCCTAGTTTAAAATAAACGAGACTTTTGAGTACTCGTACCTGTAATAGTACATTCGAGCTTTTACAATTATTTCCATCATTTTTTTGTGTTGTCGTTTTTTTTTTGGGATAATTTTGTTTTGTTTCGTTCTGTTACAGGTGAGAAGGTATGTGTACCACGACGTCGTTCGACTGGGTGATCTGGAAAAGCTCATTGATTGTTCCAATATTCAGGTCAGCAAAATACTACGACCTTTTTTCTTCGAAAAAGTAAAGTAATAATAAAAAAAAGTAGGAAACGATACTTTTTTCCCAACAAAAAAGACAAAATGATGCAATTACCATGTATGCGCCCATTTGTTTTGTGAGATCCCATGGCCGCATGGTTTTATTGAGGCAAGGCAAATACCTTTTTCACCTTTTTAACAAAAAGAAAAGTAGAAAAGTTATGTATTATAAATATTTATCATGATTTGTACACAATATTAACAATAATTTATTGTTAAATATCATTTGTGCCTTCAGGGAAAAAAAAAGAAAAATTGGAAAAGAAAATAATGTCGCAATTATTTAGTATTAAATTATATTTTTTAGATCTTGGTGAACTGAAATGATAAAATTTAATCTGTTGTGCATAAATATGAATTATTTTAATATGTTGAAAATTGACATCAATCAATTTTTAGTGCTGGATATGTATTTTGTTAATTTAAATTTTATATGAAAAGCTTAAACTTCATGTAAATAAAATGCATATAAATAAATGAGGGAAGAAAATAATGAATAAAAGTGGGAATGGCAGGCATATACGATAAACGGAGCGAAGGTGATATTCTTAAAGCAGAGGCCACAGTCACGGCCATGCAAAGGCTCCTCCAACGCCTGCTGCACTTGCGACCGCATTCTTCAGGATCCCTTCCTTTTCTGTTCTCTCTCTTGCAAGGTATTCCCTCCATTATTTTTGAGGAATTTTGATGTCTTAAAATATAAAACAATTTAAAAGAACAAGGTTCTTTTTTCCAATATTGGTGGGAGGATTGAAATTTTATTATAGCATGTTTATTTATTTCTTTTTTTGTAATTCATTCTCCAAAATCAGGATAAATTAGTTAGAATAATAAAATTATTTTAAAAATAAATTATTTTTAAATGTTGTGTCTACATTTAAAAGGGAGTGATTTGATGTGGAGGGAGAATTTTTTTGAAAATTGAAATATTATTTTTCTAAATTTATTGGATGGTATTTTTGGAATTGGATATCAAAAGTTACTAAAACTAAAAAAAGGAAAAAAGAAGACTTATATATAGGACTAAGAAGAATTTTTATGAGGGAGAAATAATTAAGTGTGTGGGAGCATTTTTTTTTTTTTAAGTTTATAGTTTGGTTTTGAATGAATAAGTTTATAAAGAATCATTAGTGTTTTATTGATATTCTCCCTTCGCTTTTATTTACCCTTCATTTTTATTTATAAGAGATATTATTATTTTGTACTTATTTTTTTATATAAGTAAAATTATCTATATCAATAAGAATTTATTATACATTTTCTAAATCACCCTCCATAATTCACATTAATGAAAAATAATTAATGTATATTTATGTAAATTAATATAGGACATTTTAGTCTATTTTTTTATTTTCAAAGGTAATTATTATGATTAATCAATTTTATTAAACTATGTGATATAATTTTTATATATATAAAAATGGGGAGTATGTAATTTTATTTTAAGTTGTCTTACAATTTGGTATGGATAAAGTAATTAATTTACTATAACTCCCTCCGTCTTATTTGTAAGAGGAATTTTTTTTTTATAAAATACATCATTAAATTTTTATTACAATTTTTCTTTCATGACTCTGTTAAATGTTACTGAGAAAAAATAAATTATTAAAGCATCTATATTTAATATAGATAAAATTAAAAATTTATTGAATTTTTAGACAGTGAGTAAGTTTTAAAATTTTTTTATTTTAATAAAATATGGTGAAAGTAATTTACAAATAAAATAAAATTAGGAGAGACTAATTAGTAGCATTAATTATAATTTATGTTGTGGTTATGTGTAGGTGGATCACATGTTGGAGGAAGGCGAGGACCTGTCTGGCATTTTGCATCAATTCCAGGAATCCGACTTCACCTACTCGCACTTCGAGGCTTCCAACTCCGCCTCCTCCGACCAGGATTCCCAAATTGCCCCTCCCTCCTCCTACGGCTCCTCCGGCAATTCCGTCATTTCACCTCTCCGCCTCCCTCGCCTTGTCCTCTCCCTCGGCGGTAGAAGGAAGGGCGCCCCACAAAGAGCCCCTCTTTCTTAGTTCTCCTCACCACTCCTAATAATTTATTTATATTAATAAGTTAGTTAATCACGCCTCTTTAATTAATTACTTCCAAGTCCTCTTCCCTCTTATTATATATATATATATATAATATTGAATCATCGAATTTCAGGACCCAAAAAATATATTACTAATCACCATAAAATTATGACCAAATAAACGGCTTATTCAGTTTTAGTTGTTATTTTCGTCTCGTAACATGCATGAAAAAAAAAAAAGAAACCCGAAAAAATTTATGTGTAATATGTGCATTTTCTAATTTTTTTTTTAAAATTTTAAATTTCTCTGGTGGTTTTCGTTTGTTAGTTGCATGTTATTCAGGAGATTTCCATGTTCATCTTCTTGTGTAGGTGGATGTCAGGCTCTTCTGGTATCCGCCAGTTTTGTGTCTGATGATGTAATGGAAATTTGAAGTATGTAATGTTTATTACTGACATTAATATATTTGTATCTTAGCATGAAGTGATGACTTTTCACACGAGTTACGTTCCTTCTTGTGTTTAATAAATTCATCGTATCTTTTTTTTTTTTAATATAAAAAGGGCATGACTTCTTGATCTGTGATTTTGTGGCGGATATTGCTTTTGATTGGTGGTGATTGTTGTAAAAGCAGCACGAAAATAAGAGTAACGAAGGCACAATTAAGAGAGAAGAATATGATAATACTTAACATTATTGTCAACTTTTGAATTGACTCTTTAAATCAGTCATTTTTATATTTTTTAATTTATAAAATTATATCAATTTATTCATAAATTTAGATAAAATAAAATTAATTAAACTCATAAGCTGGCTTTTTGAGTTTATTAGTTTTACATTTTTAACTTATAAAATTATATAAATTTGTTTATAAATTCATTGAGTAAGATAAATATTTATTGTGTAGAATTTGATTTGTAGAAGCAATAGGATCTGGTTCAATGAAAAGTAAAGGTAAAAAAATAAAAAAAATTATAATATTAATAAAAAATAAAAATATTAAAAATAAATTAAAATTTTTATGTTGACTATAATAATATATGAATGTATATTATATTTTATATTTTAATTATTTAATTATATATTTTAAAGACTATTTACTAATAAAAATTTATTTTTATTAGTTGACAATTTGAATATGCATTTTGAGTTTACTTAAACTGCAAGTTTAACAACCTTGATTTTTAAAATCAAATTATTGTTGTTTTTGACCAATTTTTAACCTGCAGACTCGATAATTTTTTTAAAAATAAATTGTAAGTATTGATTAAATAACTTGAAATTTAAAAATTATTATTATAAATAAGAAATTTAAATGTTAAATATAACTCAATTTGTAACTGAAATTCTTATTTGCAACCGTACGTCCTTCATGTTTTTAAAATTTTTTGTTAAAAACCTAACCATTATTAATAATCTATTTTGAGGCTTTAATGCCATTTTCCTACAAATATTGTGTTTGGAACTAATTAAAGAGAGTATTAATTTGCGGATGGTCCTGTGACTTAGGGACACAGTGCTTTGATTTTTTTCACAAAAAGATTTTGCCCTATATAATAATAAAATCTTTTCTATAAAAAAAAGGGGACACACTCGCGCATGAACATAAATATGTTAGCATTAAATTTGAATTCAATCAAAGCCTTTTCAAAAAGAAAAAAAAAAAAGAAAGTAACGTTGTTATTAAGATAATCAGCCGTTAACAGTAGCGTGATTTGTTAGCATGAAGCAATGGAGGGTAGACTGATTGTTATCTTGAAGGTCTCTGGTAAAAGATCCCATTATAGTTCACTGAGGTCAGAGCTGGTAATGTTGAGAGACGCGCCTGCATGGTATTGTTATCCCTCTTTTGTTTTTCTCTCGCGATGATCTCTCTGTTGTTTTGTCACGTGACTACTTCCTTCTTTTACGTCTCACCACGCCGTACAATTCCAAAATTACATTTATTGCACCGCAGGCCAGGGTAAAATCTTATCCCTCTGTTCGTACACACGTGTATGTTTATAAATAATAATCAACTCACATAATTTTAAAAAAATTAATTAAATATAATAAATTAAAAAATTTGAATTAAATTATCTTTATAATTAATAAAATAATTTTTAATAAGAATAAATATTAATTTTATTACGGACAATTTATGAAAAGTGTGATAAATTATTTTTGAAATTTATTATTTTACTTATAAATAAAAGCAAATAGGCTCATGACAGTTTTTATTATATTCAAAAACAGGAGTACTAAACTCTATATAATTATATATATAAATTAAAATTGATATTCTTTTTATAAATTATATTGGATTTTTGTTTAATTTGCCCTTTTTAAAATTTTTATTAGTATAATAGATTTAAAGGTTGCTTATGATATACTCTCTTTGTCTCAAATTATAAAATATTTTTAAACACAATTTGCATATCAATAAAACTTATTAAATACATCTTACAGCTTTACTTTTTTAAGATGAAAATATAAATTTTTAAAAATACTTTTTATTTAATACTCAAATGTTAAAAGAATATTGAAAAGAGAAAATATATGAAAATAGTAATATTGAAAAAGTATTATTAATAAAACTTTATTTTTATCAAAATATTTTATATTTTAAAATGATGAATATTTCTTAAAAGTGTCTTATAATTTATAATTTAGAACAGAGAGAGTAAAAAAATATTTTTAAAAATAATACATATAATAAGGATAAATTGAAAAAGCGAGCAGCACTTGAGCAAAAATTAATCTTTCTTTGATAGAACAACGGGATGAAATCACCAGAGGATGCCACACGGATTATCCCTATCATGATGTTATTTCTAATGCTTGTAATTTGATTACCAGGGATTGGTTAATTTCTATTAATTTTATTTATAGGATTGTTATTAGCAGTGTTCATTCAATAGCTACAAAAGCTCTAGTTTTAGAGAGACCTTATTGTAATTTTGATCATTCCCTCCCTTGGCATGAAGAAGGAGGCGAATGATAAATGATCTGTCTCTCTCTTCGTTTGTTGTCTCTAATTTATCATATTTATGAATGTATTTTACTTTGATTAATTCAAAAAAAAAATATCACGAATTGAAGGAGCTGGATGCTGCCTAATAAAGTCAATCTTTCACTTGGGCAGAGCATGGAATCACTGTTTTCATAGCCAGATCAACCAGGATGTTCAGACTGGTCAAACTATAATTCGGAGAAAAAAACGGCCTGATTTAACCTGCTCTAGAAGTTGACCCATATTAGCCTGTTTTAATTTGTGTAATTCTTGAAAACCCAAATTAAAAATTTAAATCTTGGAGTGGTTGAATCGCTTTGAATCATTTTTAATATATATATATATATATATTATTTTTATTTAATTATTATATTATCAATTTAACTATAAGTCTAACTGAGTAAATCATAAGATTTGTGATTTATTAATATTTTTAGTTCATTGTAGGTTTAATTTTTAAAACATTGCATGCAACACACTGCTTATATATATGTGTGTGTGTGAATCACTTTTAAATTTTGAATTATCTTATCCTTAATTTACTTTTTTTTCCAACTAATTTACTTGTTTGAAAAAGGAAAAAATGTTTCTACAATGGACGTTAAGTCAGCTGTTAATGTTTGCTTGAGAGGTTTTTTTCCCATGTGCAAGACATCGACACCCCTAGGTCCTAGCTACGCACTAAGATTAAAATTTTAAAAATTAAATTAAAAATACATGAAATAAAAATATCAAGTAATTGTACTTCATCCGATCCATGATCCTGCATCACAGATCCTCCGCATTATGCATGTTAAGAATTTTTTTTTAATTTCACAAAAAAATTGACTTATTTTTTCAATTTTATCATTATCTACAATTAATACTAGTCCGAGCAATCCCACATACATAATAGTTGAATGTCATGATATTATTACTTTCTTCCTGAAAAATTAACCTAATGATGTGTGTAGTGAAACCACTAATATACTCATGACTCTCTTCAAGTCATTTTGATGTGAGATGTAATAACTCTTTAAATTAATTTGTGATGCTCTCATCACAAGTGACCCACCAGTTAAATAAATTTAAGTTTAACTCTGATATCAGTTTTTCACAAAATTATTATTCTCTTCCAAAAATGGATAGCTCAATGAGTATGCATTACACCCACTTATATAAATCACACCCTCCTCAAGTTCTTCCAATGTGAGATGTAATAAGGAGCCATAAATAAAAGAAAATTAAAGATTGTGCCTCTAAAAAATTCAATTAACCCCCTGAAAATTTTTAATTACCTCCATCCTAAAAAAAAAAATCATTTGCCCACTTAAAAATTTTCGCTCCTTTTTCTAAAATTCAGTTTTACCAAAAAACTTATCTATGTATAAATACTCTTAAATAAAAATAGTTTTAGAATGGAGGGAGAAATAATAATTTCTCATATAGAATTACTTAGTGCCTGTTAATCAATTCAAAGTCAAAAAAAAAATATTTTTTAAAATTATAAGGTATCTTATATTTTGGATCAATGAATAGTTAAAAAATATTTCATCCATCCTTAATTATAAGATAATTTAAAACAAGATCATGTATATTAATAAAGTTTAATAACGTCATTTTACAAACTTATTTTTTCAAAATAAAAATATAAACTTATAAACATACCATTCATTTAATATAATTTTAAATATACAAACTTGATCATTACACTAAAATTATTTCAATTTTATTTTCACTTGAAGGGTCATATTGAAAAAAATTTCAAGAATGAAATTTTATTTTTGTTAAATTATCTTATATTTTGAGACAATGAAATACTTCTAAAATTTTTATAATCTAACCCCTCAAAATCACAATATAACTTATAATTAATTAATTCACAATTTATTAATAATAGTAGTTGAAATCTTAAATTTTTAATAATGTTCACATCTTTTCATTTATATCATCATTAAATACTCTATATAAAAGGTTTGATAATAGTAATTTTAGTGCATGATTTTTTTTTTCAAAAGAGTAATAAATGAAATGATGGTATAGTTAAAAAAATAAATATAAAAGTTATCCAATGCTTTATAAGTTAGATTAAGTAAGGTTTTTAGAAAATGTTTTATATTGTGATTCGGAGGAAGTAAGATGGAAGAAACATATTTAAAGCCAATAATTTAGATAGGTTGAACTTATTCAAATTGAGCTCACAATAGCCAAATGTGTAAAAAATTCATAATGTCAAGCTCAACCTTAATAAATTAGGTTTTAAACTGGCTAGAATTTTAAATTATAAAATATTATTTTATTTTTAGTCAATTTTGATTTTGATAAGTTTTATCTTAAAAAATTAATAATTTTGATTTTTATCTAATTTTAATTTAATTTTATTAATAATAAAAAATTTCAGATATTTGAGCTAAATCATTTAGATTTGGACTTGGTTAGGATATTTCAGGCTCATTCAACCTACCTAAATAAATTTAAAAAAAATCTAAAGACTCAACCTCATCTCTGAAAATTTTCAAGCTCATCGGGCGGAGAGGGCTGGGGAAGATAAGTGGGGGGAGAGGAAGGAAGGATAGTTGAAGAGGAGAAATAATGAAAGATGGGGGTGAGAGTTAGAGAGTTCACATGGCCTGTCACTTTCTATTCTCATCCTTTCTTCTTCTTTTAACCCTATAATTATCACTCTAACTATGCCCCTATCTTTTTGCCCGACCAAACTACAGTTCTTGGGGTTCTTCCATGTGTCACTCCCCTCCCCCCCTCTCCCATTCATATCCTCCCTCAGTAAGTTAATTTTTTTTGGCTAAAATTATACTCTTCCTTTAAAAATATAAGATATTTTTTAAAAAGTAAGATATTTAAAAATATAAAATATTTTTAGTCTAATTATTATCTTTTTTAAAATTTTTTTTATTAATAAATAAATTTATATTTATTGTAAGGTATTTAATAGAAATAAATATAAAAAAATAGGGTTAGTTTAAAAATAGGTTACTTTATTGAAAGATGAGATTCGATTAAAAATGCCTTATATTTTTAAATGAAGGGAGTACTTATTAATAAAATTTATTAAATATATTTCATAATTTTCAATTTTTTGTAGGTTTTCAAAAGTTCCTTTCATAAATAAAAAATATTGATAAATAAAATTATTTAAGAAGTGAAATAATGAATGGTAATATTGAAATAATTATTATTAATAGAATTTTATTTCTATTAAAATATTTTATATTTTAAAATGTCATATCATCCTTAAAAATATCTTATAAATTAAAACAGAGGAAGTGCTCTAGTCTAAATGCAACCTTTTTTAAAAAAAAAATTAGTTTCTTATGAGAAATAAATATGTTTAAGATTTGATTTTTGTTTTCTTAGAATGCTCTCATTGGTTGTGTGACATGATGAATATGTATTTAATGATGTTAACTTAATTATGTTAATTTTTTTCTTAGAATACTCTAGTCTAAATACAACCTTTTTATAACAAAAAATTAGTTTCATACAAGACATGAATGTGTTTAAGATTTGATTTTTGTCTTCTTAGAATGCTCTCATTGGTTGTGTGGTATGATGAATCTGTATTTAATGATGTTAACTTAATAATGTTAAATTTATGAGAGTTCCTTGATAAATACAAAAGACCATGGATAATGTTATTTATTTTTGGCAATAATGCATAAAACTTTCTTAAATATTAAAATAGTTGTATATAACTTCTCTTACTTTTAAATATTTAAAAGTAATTCCTTCACTTTTAATTTTGTTTTTCAAAGCCTCCTCCCATTAATTACTCTGTTATATTATTAATAGAGTTTTCCATATCAAATTAAGAAAAGCACCATAAAAACTTCAGTGACACCTCATGTAAGCAAATAATAAATGTATAAAAAATATATTATTTTTTCATAAAGTTAAAAATGTTATTTATCTTTTTTTCAAAAAAAAAAAACCCCCTCACTACCCTTACATGCGTCTTACTGTCCTTCAATAACTCATATACCTATTAGAATTTTTAAAATTTTTATATATAAAATTACTCAACTTTTTTTTACATATAAGATAGGCCAGTTTTTAAATTTTTCTTTCATCAAATTTTGGTCCATTCTCAGATATAAGGTGGAAGTTGTTTTAATTAATATATGTACGTATGTATAAAACTCCAATTTAAGAATTTTTTTTAAACAAAAAGAGTTAGATATTTAGTTTTATATATTTAATTATACTTTTTTCCTATCAAATAAAGTATTGATAATATTAATAATAAAAATTTATTATAAAATAAATAATAAATAAAGTTTCAACATGCCTTTATTTAATTGTAAACAATTTACCACTTATTTAAAAAAGGCCAAAATATCAATAACTGTCCTCAACTTTAGCTGTATTGTATACTACCTCTCTCATGTTTAAAAATTTTGAAACCACATCTTCAAGTTAAAGATTTTGACATTTAACCCTCAACTTAAAAAATAAATTAACTTTTACACCATAAGTTCAACAACATGCATGAGAGAAGTTGTGGGGATTTTAAATATAAGAGAATTTATATGCAATACAACCAAAGTCGAGGGTGTTATGGATATTTTGGCCTTTAAAAAGCATCAATTTTACACTCCAACTGGCCAAGATTGGTGACTCACTTTTTCCAATTAAAAATATTTTCAGTGAATTCTTGAGCATCAGATCTCAATCATATAAACAAGTTAACTGATTTTAATATAAATTCAATGGCAATAATTCAAATAAAAAATCCTCCGTTCATCTCAAAATAAATATAAATTCTAAATCAATTACTTCAAATCATATATTAATAATAGGGTAAAATAACAAATTGGCTCCTAAACTATAAATCTAATTATGTTTGAAATTTTAAACTCATTTTTATATAATATTTTTCTTTAACTTTTAGAAATGATGTGATCTAACTCTTGCCATTAATAAAAATTAATTTTGACTATTAGTTAATAAAAAAAACCAATAAATTTGTTTTGTCATTTTCAATAATTTGTTATGTCATTGTCTATAATTAAGGGTGGGTAAAAGTGAACAAAATCAATTAAACCAAACCAATTCAATCAAAACCGAATAAAATTGAGCATTAATAAAGTTTGGTTTGGTTTTATAAATTAAAAACCCAAATAGTTTGGTTCAAGTTTTGATTTTTTTCTTTAAAACCTTAATCAAACCTGAACCATACCTTTTTATATTTTTAAGTGCATTTTTTATAATTAATATTAGACTATTAATTAGTGTTTATTATTTTTAAATTTTAACCTCAACTAAATTCTAGCCCAAGCCCAAATATTTTAATAGAATCCTTAACCCTACTTTTCTTAATTTTGTTAATTGCTTTGAGAGTAAAAGATAGTCCAGATTGAGGAGATGTGTATTGTTGTTGTTGATTGAGGAGAGTCAAATACTTCACGACTTGCTACTAAAACATTTTTTCCTTTAATTGATTTAAAACAAGTTTATTTTCATTATAGATATTAAGATAATTTGTAATGAAATTTAACTCATGTTAATGTTACTTACAATGCATATACTCTGATGTTTATTAATAATAGAATTTGAATATTTTTATTTTTGATTTGATATTCATTTCTATTTATAAAAATAAAGTTGAGAATATGACTTTGATGTTGGAATATCAAAGGAAAAAAAAGTAAAAAAATATTGAAACTTAATCCATGTATGAACCAAATTGTCTAAAAATAAAACCAAACTAACTTTAATAAACAACTAATCAAACATCACTTTTTTTATGCGATCGATTGATTTGGTTTGGTTTATGTTTTGATGAAAACCCAACCAAACCATACTTTTAATCACCCTTTTGTATAATTTTAGGTCTTTTATTATAATTTTTTTGTTTTTTATGTAATTATTTATGTCATTTTCTTGTTAACTAACGATTAAAGTTAATTTTTATTAACTGCAGAGATCATATTATATTATTTTTAAAAATTAAAAGGGAACATTTTATTAACAAATGAGTTTATGATCTTAGATATTACTAAACCTATAATTTAAAAATTAATTTTTTTAACTTTAATAATAATATAAAACACTGTATACTAGTACTCTATATGAGTTGCACCAATTATAATCATACACTATGTGGATAGGGTCTTTCCTAGGAAATTTTATTTCATAAAAAATTTTCTTTTTTGACCAACTTCATAATAAATTACCAATAAAATATAATATTGATGAAGCATAGACCATCGGCTAATGCATTAAAATTAAGAATTCAAGTGGATTGAGCCTATTCGAGCTCAGCTCGAGTAAGCCCGACCCAAATAGGTCTGAAAAAATTCGAGCAAAGTCAAATCAAGTTTGGGCTTGGCCCGAATACCTAAATAAAAAATTATTTTTTAAAAATATATAAAATATAATAAATATTAATTAATTTTTTAAATTTTAAGTCATTTTATGCTAAAATATCATATATTTGAGTTCTATACATTATTTAAGTATCAAAAAAATATATTTTATATTTTTTATAAAATAAAATAATTAATTTTAAAGTTAAAAATTAATTAAAAATAATTTTTAAAATAAATTTAGGATATTTGGGCTGTCCAAAGCTCGAAAAAATTTGGGCCGAGCTTAGTTATTCGAACTTTTTAAAGGATAGACCTGAACATAAAAAACCATAATTTTTTAAAACTTAGACCTAAATTTTTGTAAGTAAGTTTGGATTAATCTTGTTAGGCTCAGCTGGAATTATCAAATCTACAATACACGGGGTTTCATGCAGCACAGGAAATGAAGAAAGCATATAATTGGCATGAATGAGCATTCCAACGCATTCAATTTGTACCATTTCTTAATTAATAATAACTAAACACTAACGAGAATTTCAATGTGAAATAAGTTCCAATTCAACCCTAAGTGCTTCGCTTCACTTCACCAACATCACCACCACCACCTCCTCATTTCTTGACTGCAATTATTGTTTGCTTATGCATTGTGGCCCCATCCTCATTCCTCGACTTATCGATCTCATGAGTCATCACATCACATCACATTATTTATCTCTCTGCCTTCATTATTCAGTACTAAGAAATGCCTTTGGCCGAAAAAAAAAAAGTACTAAGAAATGCAGGTAATTAATGAGAAAGTTAGGAAAATTGATCGAGTTGGCTCAATAATTAATAAAAATTATATCTTTTTGGAGTAAATCAAATATAAACTAATAAAAATGAAATAATGCAAAAAAGAACAAGGAAAAAGAAATTAAAAACTGTTCAACACTCCACCAGATTTGAGATGAAAAATCAATCGGAAAAAGAAAAATAACAATAGGGTTAAATAATGTTTTTATTTTTCAACTATCCACTTAAGAGCATACAAAATTCTAAACTTATATGTAATATAAATTTCTTTTTTAATATTTAAAAATAATGCATTGAGCATTCTATTATTTAAAAAATTTAATTTTTGCTGTTAGTTGATGTCAAAATTACAAAAAAAAATGACTAAAAAATTACACACCAGTTCTTTATAAAAAAAATTAATACCAGTTTTTAAATGGGATCTTAAAATAATTTTCCCAACGTTTCGCTTTATCAAGTGAGGAGAAGAACGCTCCAAATCTTTCCAACCAAACATATTGCACACAGGATCAAATTTAGAGAGATCACTAAAATCTCCATGCTCTTTATTCATGTTTTTTTCACTAAAATCTCCATTCTCTCTTGAGATAAGATCACTAAAGATAAGAAACATGGCGGCCTTGGGTTTAAGAGAATAAAAAACCAGAATATCGCTTTCATCATGAAGCTGTGCTGGGGCATTATTACTAAGACCAACTGTCTTTGGGTTTGAATTCTCCGCGATACATACAAATGTAACAAACCCCTTATTCCTATGGTTTACAAACCAAATTCATCATCTTACACATGGACTATTGTTTGTAAAGTTTGGGATACTTTTAAAGCCAATGTTGGTTGGAGAGTAGGCAAAGGAGATCAAATATCTTTTTGGTACGAAAGGTGGTCACCTCTTCCCGAGCCTCTTGTCATATATGCTTATCCTAAAGCTAAAGCCATCCTTCATGCCAAAGTCTTTGATTTTCGCACTTCAAGAGGTTGGCACATTGATAAATAAAGCGTTACCTCCCCTCGGATGTGATTAAATGCATTTGGAGATAATGATATTTTCGTTTGGAGACCTTCTTCTGACGGCAACTTCTCCATGAAGTCAGCCTACAAAGCTATTGAGAATCAGGATGGGAATTGCAACAAAAAAAATTTGGGATACTATATGAAAATGGCTCACCTACGAGAAGATCAAATACTTTCTATGGAAAGCAACTTGGAATCGTCTGCATTTAAACTCTAATTCTTCCAATTCTGAATGCCCCTTTGGCTACAATTCCCCTGATAACTTTATCCACATTTTGCGTGATTGCACTAAATTAAGGGAAGTATGGATGAAACTTGTAACACATTCTAAGCTTAAGACTTTCTTTTCTCTTTCCTTTCAGGATTGGATTCTCTGGAATGCGAAAAACAATGTTGGTAATGCTAATATGAGAAGAATCCCTTGGAAGAATCTTTTTGCCCATATTTGTTAGAACATTTGGAAAGAGAGCTGCAAATCTATCTACTCGGAAGACCACATTCTTCAGAAAGACATCATTTTCACTTGCACACAGGACATAATCAATGACCTCTACCTTCAATCTCAACTTGTAATTATGCAGATGAATCAAGATAGATCCTTCACTAGATGGATTTCACCAAAACCTAGCTGGATCAGATTGGATATTGATGGTTCTGTTCTCCCCAATGAAGACGCTTCTTGTGGTGGCCTCATTCGTGATGACTTAGGGAACTGGATTAAAGGCTTTACTAAAAGTCTATGCTATCATCCTACCACTACCGCTGAGCTCTTGGGTATTTTTGAGGGATTAAAGCTTTGTTAGGAAAATAACTTCAAGCAAGTTAATGTATATACTGATTCCTTAAAAGCCCTGACACTTGTTCAGAAGGATCATGATCCGAATCATCCTCTTGGCGATATCATTAAGAAGATCAGATGTCTCGTCATGAAGGATTGGGCTGTCACCTTCAATCATGCGTTTAGAGAATGTAACAAATGTGCGAATTGGCTTGCTCGACAAGTTACAAGAGAAAATTCAGACACTTTATTTGATGACATTCCACCTCCAAGGTGTCGTCGGCTCATGGGTCTTGATTTGACTTAAGTTATCTTTTGCACGGTTCATCCGTGGCCTTGTATTCAAAAAAAAAAATTCAAAAAGTGTTGGCAATAAACTAGTGGCAATAAATATACATGAAAGGTAATGGGTTCAATCTCACTTATAATTTTAGATCATTAGTGCCTAATTTTAGAGTTGAAAAACAGACCTGACCCATATGAGCCCGCCCTTATGAGTTCAAGCCCACAAGCTGGGTTTCCCTAAAAATGACAATTTTGTGAAGTTCAACCCTTATTCAATGGGCTTAAGACTAAACTCATAAGCTCCCCTTTTTTAAAAATTTTAAAGATTTAATTTTTACATTATAATATTACATATTATTTCTTTAAAATATAAAGTATAATGTTCAAAAATTAAAAATAAACAATGTAAATTCTAATTTTAAAAAATAAAAATATTTTAAAGTAAAAAATTTAATATTAAAATTAAAAATAATTTATTTTTTAAAGGTAAAAAAAAAGCCTAACCTATTCAATCTTGAGCCCGTTTTTATAAGATTTAATAGAACCAAGCTTAAAAACAGTTATACTAAACACCTCTTATTTTTTAAGTTTAAACTTTAAATTTTATAAAAATAAGCTTAAACATTTGATATATCAAGTCCAGCTCAACTCTTGGTGATCCCTGCCCTTTTTTCTTTTAAAAAAAGGTTGGGAATTGGCAAGGCTGGTCTGACAAGTCAAACGACCGTAAAAGGCAAGAATGCATGGAAATAGATGATGAGGGCGATGAGTGTAGTGGCCGTCAGAAATGTGACAAGCTCAATTGGACAAGGCAGATGGCAACAGTAGCCTACCCATCCTATGCCTATGCCTTCCCACCCCTTCCTCTATAGCCTTCACCCCACTTACTTTCCCCTCTGTTATTTCGGACGCTCATCGTCTAATTTAAAGTCGGTAATTCGGAAGGAACGAACCTAGCTAAATTTAGGTCGCGCTTATAATATTCTATCATCTTAAAAAAATTTATATAATTAAATTTAACTTTAATTTTTTTCAATTGATTCAAGCTAGCCTATCAAAATTAATTAAAATTATTTATTCTATATTCATAGAATTGTAAATTTTTTATTCTATATTCATAGAATTGTAAATTTTAGTAGGCAAGTTTATTTCAGACGGATTTAATTCATGTTAAGTTTAAAGTATTTTACTTTTTTAAAAAGTTTATATAACAAAATTTAATTCTAACTTTTTTAAACGAGTTCGGGTTAACCCATCTGACTTGATTCAAGTTATTGACTCTAATCTAATTTGCCCATAAATTCTCTTTATTTAAAAATATAAAATATTTTTAATCAAATTGTATTCCAGTTAATTGTTTTTTTACTTTTTATCATTCTTTAATATATATTTTTTATTTTAAAATGAATAATTTAATTGTTTATTTACAAATTTTTTTAAAAAACATATTAATTATATATTAAAAAATTAAAATGACTTATATTTTTAAATATTTAACATAAAAAATATTTTATATTTTAAAAAAAAGAGAGTAAGGTGTTTTAGATATTTTTATTTATATGAAAAAATTATTGAAAAAAATGACAGCTAGGGCCATGATAGAGAGTGAAATCAACATGCCAAGCATTCCATTTGATCTGTCCCAATTATTACCTCTTCATTTCAACAGTAAATGTATAATATTGGTATATTGATATATAAGCATTACCAATTGAAAATGATGAAAGAGAGAAGTACAAGTTTAATTTTATAAATGATTAAAATAATTTAAATATTTATAACTTTCTCTCATCATTTTTTTTAAATTAAAAAGTATTTTTATCATTTCATCAAAAATTTTAATAATGATTAGGTCTTTTAAGATTTAAAAAATATTAACACATTTCATACGATCAAATTATCATTTGTCTACTTTAAAGAAGAGATTTATTTGTTATTCTCCCATCATAAAAAAAAAATGAAGATCAGATGGGTCTCTCTTTTATGATAGAGTATCCTTGCTTTATGATATTTGTCACTTCTTTGGTTATATATATATATATATATATATTTACATTTATTTATATTTCTTAAATAATTAGTTGCAAAATTATATATGGGTCTATGAAATAAATTTATTTATAAATAAGTCTTATAAAATTTAAAATCCTTAACTATATCTCTTGAAACTTGAGTATAATTTAAAATTAGAGTGCAAAAATAATAATACCTCTATTAAATATGTATTACATCGATCAAGTAATTTACAACTATTTTATTAATAATTTATAGCTATTACATCAACTTTTTACAATAACAACTTTACATAGTCCCTTTAATCCTAGTTATAGGGTAAAAAATATATATTTCATGCTCATATTTATAAGCTAGTCATTAAGTTTTCATCATAAATTTCTTTTTTAACCTTCCAATAGATGTTGAAAAGAGAAAATATATTATTAAAAATATATATATTTAATAGAGATAAAATTGAAAACTTTTTAAATCTTTAGATAAAATTAGTGAGTTTTAAGGTTTTTCTTTTATTTTAATAAAATATGTTGAAAATATTTTATAAATAAAACTAGAGAAGCATCTAATAATTAATTGAATTATGCTTTACTAACAAAGTTTAACATTAATTATTTATAATTATCTTATTAATAATTTATAATTATCATTTCAATATTTTACAACTAGAATTTCACGTATAACTGTAAGGATAATATTATCTTTACACTATAATGTCAAATTATATTTAAGTCCCATCATAATTTCAATTTAATCATTGCTCTTGCAATATAATTTGAAAATCTTTTGGGACTGGCTTGAAATAAAATTGTTGCAGTGTTCCTGTTCTAAAATCTTCCCAATAATCAATGCAGTTTCTTATCACAGAGTTGTTGATATCCGTACTACTATATCGGATTTGAGTATTTGTCATATTATTATGTAAATTAGGTTTAATCTTTGTGCAATGCATGGAAATATTTTAGTATGAAACAAATACAAATAAATATAATTAAAAAAATATAGAAATTATTTTAAAGCACATATAATTCAAAGTAAAATACGTAGTCCTCATTCTATTTATCTTAATTACATATTTTTTTATTTTTAAAATCTAATTTGTTGGATCAAAATAACTTTATTTAAATATGAATATTATCTAAAAATTATTCATGTTACCGCCAAAACATTTAAATGATATATTCTTTTAACTTTTAATTTATTTTTTAAATTTAATAGTTATAAAACTTATTTATTTACTATTTTAAAAAAATTAAATATGCAATTATGCTAAAATAATATTTCAAACATGTATGTAAAAAAAATTAATGGAATATGAATTTTTTAAATTTAATATAATAAGGGATAGATTAGTCAATATGATTTATGCCTATTTTTATTTAAAATTTAAAATTTTAATAAAATAAATTTAAATTATTTTTAAAACACTTACCTTTATGTTTTATTCTATAATTATTATATTATACATATAAAATTTAAAATTAATAAATTATTTTATTTATAACTTGTTATTTTGAGAAAATTAAATTTCAAAATAAAGCTCTTCAAGTTACCTATCTACTTTTTATACTTTGTCTAAATAAATTTTTAAATATTATTGCGTATCTAATACCCACATATTATTTTTACTAAAAATTTTATATCTACTGCCAATTTTTATTGCGGATCCTGGAAGATCTCTCTTTCAAAATATAAAAATAATATTATTTTTTACACAGTATCTAAATTTTTAAAATTTACAAATAAAAAATATATAGCAAATTTTTTTTTCATGTGTAAATAAACTTTATTAACTAAATTATGAGTTCCACATTCACCTCGCTTTTTTTTAATGGTATAACCGGTCAATGTGGAATTTGGTCGCTGGAATTCTGGCAATGGTGGATGAATATTTTTTAAAATAAATAATTAAAGGGTATTTTAATTATTTCTCAACAAAAACGTAATTTCAATTTAATCATTGCTCTTGCCTTAAAATTTGAGAATTTTTTGGGACTGGCTTGAAATAAAATTGCTACATCGTTCCTGCGCTCAGCTGTTTCCAATAATTAATGCGTGGTTTCTTCTCAGAGAGTCTTTGACATCCGCACTGCTAGACCAGAGTTGACATATTACAAAAGTAAATTTCTACTTCATCTTATCTAAAGTTGAAAATATAAGCGGGCCCGATTTTTATGGACTCGGCCCTTAAAGACCTGAGTCCTAAAGTTTAGTTTCCTATTTTAAATCTTGTTTCTCAAGTTTGGCCCTTATGTAAAGAGTTCAGGACCGGGCCCGAAAGCCTTTTTTAAAAAAATAAAAAAATAAAAATAAAATTAAATATTATAAATTAATTAAAATATTTTGAAATTAAAAAAATAAAATTTTCATAATTTTTTAAAAATTAAACAACACACATTTAGAAGTCTAGTAATAAAATTTAAATCTTGGTTAAAAAATAATTCATTTTTTATAAATATACAAACATAATAAGTATAGAAAAATAAAAAATATCAGAAATTTTATACTATATGCTAATATTTATTAAATTATATTAAATCAATTTTATAAGAAATTAAAATTAATAATATTATAATGTGTGTAGGATCAGGTGAGCAGGTCATTGGCTTCAAACACGTGTTTCACCAAAGAAAATAATAATAATAATAATAATAATAATAATAATATAACAGGGCTTGAAGGGCTATCGAGCCCAAACCCTTTTTTACAGGGCTTGAAGAGCCAAGTCCTCAAGCTCGATTACTTTAAAAAAATTTATTTTTAAATCCTGAACCCTTATATAAATAGGGCCTCCAAACCCGATCCTTTAGACCCAACCCTTATTCCCGACTCTAATCCCATCCATAATATAAGTGGCCTAACTGTTTCACATAAATTATGAGAAAATAGATAAAAATTAATTGCTTTGATTTCTCAAAATTATAAAAAAGTATCCCTATTTTTTAAAATTATTATCCAATTAAAATTAACATATCTTAATTACCTTTTATTTTTTATTTATCAACTTTCTGC